CTACCTGCTTTCTTACATATGCCCAGTTAATGTCCTTTGTACTTACATCCTCATCTCATACTGGTATCAACAGAAGCTGTGCATGAAAAAACACAGGCAAAAACTGAGTAAGGTTTCCTCTCAGAACTATGTACGTACAACATGTTTGCATATATATACACACATATATAGGTAAAAGGTGTTCTTACATTTCATAAAATGATCAAATATCTCACTTAAAAATATGTAACTATTCAACATAACACTCAAAACCACTCTGCAAAAGCACCAGACATGGTACTTTTACCATAACTTTGTAACATACTTATCATTGATCCATCCTCTTGAAAGAATCAATTTACTATTCTTGTTAATAACTAAAAGCATGCTTGATGCTATGCAGCTCCAAAAGTCTACCAGCACTTCAATAACCCACGACTGGGTGACTATTGATTATGCATATACTCAGATGGACTACTTCCTTGATTAAACAAACATATGGATCCAAACAGATGAAAACCATATTATTCAGAGAAGACTCAAAGCGACTTTTGACAGTATTTTATTACCTACAGATGGTTTTATATCATTTTAGCTAAATCATCCTGTCTTTAAACATTTACTTCCCTTTCATCCTGTACACTTTCTCCTGTTTCACAGCATCACAATACAAAGTTAGCAATCCCTATACAATCTAAGTACCTCTCATGTCCAAGACCTACCCTAACAGAATATTGTTTTACATTATTTTATCAAAATACTAGGTTAAAAAATTTCAGTATGAAATACACATTTTGGAAGTAAAAGAGCATTTCTATTCCCACATCTTCACTGCTAAATGAATGTCCATTAAATTATATTTGAATTAGTTAAGCATACCACGCAGAAAAGTAAAACCTTAAAAATACCAGAACATTCCGTACTCCTCAATTACAATTTTCAAAGTGCTTGTTAGTCAATTTGAGCAAAATCAAGCAAGAAAATGTTCTTTCCTAACTGAAAAGAACTTTGGAATTAAACTATGAGAGAAGTGTAAGGAGAGTGGCATGATTTTTGACAGAGTAGATTGTAATACTCAACTTGCTCAGACCACACGGTATCAAGATGCCCAAGCCAGCTGGAAGTCCACAGAAAGTCAGTGCTACAAATGACAAAAGATACTCAGAGCATTATATTCAGACATTATGTGTGCTCCCTGGAGAAGCTCAAGGTATGAAAGGGTTTGTACAATGTTTTGTCATAAAAAGTAAAATCCAAGAGGAAAAAAAGGATCTCTTCCTATTAAGCTCTCAACAAAATATAGTTTGAATCAAACAAAAGCATGCATTCTTTTCTGATCAGATTTCTCTGCTTTCATAGCATATAAAAACCACTGTATATTCTGTAAGGCTGTATTCATTAATGTCTCTCACCAACTCAGTCCGATTCAAGCACTGTCTTTTTGGCTTGAAAGTACTTTACACCCATTTTGAAAGTTTCTGAATGACCAAAGGCAACACAGGAAACCTCCACTAGAGCCTACAGATTCTACTCATAAGGAAATCAAGTCTATAGACTCTCTGTATTAATAGAACTCCACTGTGCACAAAATAGCAATCCTGTAATAAAACTGATGATTGGAATCTTGTTCAATCTGCAGCAAATGGGAATACTGACAGTGGTTCCAGCTGCACCATAACCACAGTCTGTGTTGTAGTAAAGGACTTGAGAATTTACATGGGACCATTTGATTTTTATCTTTATTATTTGTATTTTTACTAGGGTTTCGGCTGCACTAGACCCAATGTGAGCTCTAGCTTCAGTGTATGATTCTTTCAGACAAGAAGAAAGAAATTGGGGGATACAGAGAAAGCCACGGTGTGTCTAGCCTCAGCCTGGATTAGGACCTTCATAAATGCGTTTAAGTCATTTCTGGTAGTAGTTCTACAAATTAAGTAATTGCCCTGTAGTTTATTAGTTTCACATTTCAAAAATTCAAGTTCAGTTTTTAATGGTGTATCCAGCTTCACATGTGTATAAATAATGCATGTGAATAAGAAAATTTAAAAAATTGATCTGGCCTCCAAAGCTGGTCTAACCTATGTTATTCACAACAGTATTCTTTCGTGACTTACTGATCAATTGATTATTCTTTTAAATGCAGGTAAAACAGCTTACTGAAAGGAAACTGTAAAATTATCGGTACCTACCAAACAAATGCCACTATGTCCCCACATCAATTCCACTTAAAATTTGGTAAAACTGGAAACCAACTGTTCTCAAAGCTAGTAGGAACTTGAAAGAAACATGCCCCTTCAATGACAAAGACTTCACAGAGTTACAGTGTTGACACAGTGCTACTGAAGCTCTATTTCATAATAAAAACTTAGTTATTAAACCTACAGACATGTACACAGCTGGACCCTCATAATATTACAAAGCCCATGTCAAATCTGCCCGTGATCCATCTGCATATATCTATTTAAAATGTCTCTACAGTGTGTTAAGTGCAATACTAATGAGACAGCATAACAGACTTTAGATCTAGGTACCCATAATTAAAATGTGCAAACAGTATCTGACTGTAAATGTGTAAAACTAACTGGTGAGAAATGTTAAATGTCAAGGCTACTCTGAACAATGGAGATCCATAGAGATACACTTCTTGTAAACTTGTATTCTCACTGCATTATTCTACAGAGAAGGAAAGTATCCACAACTTCCAATATAACACTGCAATTTAGAAAAAGTATCTTCTTAAAAAACAAAGCAACCTTTCTCAAAAATACCATAAAGTCAAAAGTAAAGAAATCTAATTCTTTATAAACAGCATGGGAGCTACTTCAAAAAGTTATGTGTGTTCCTCTGTAAGGAAGGCAACAGGAAGGCTCAGGAGAAGGATCCATCGTAAAAGAGTATATATACTATAGTATATTCCCCAAATACAAAAATGTTATGGAATTGAAGAGTTATCCTTTAGAGGATGGAGACTGACTCCAAGTGGAACCAGAAAGGAGAGAGTGTATCACAGGTAAAATGTAAGTTGGGTAACAAGCAGTCCAAAAGGAAAGAAGAGCACACAGCAAAAGATACGAAAATAAGTATCATACTATTAGCATATGAGAAGCAGGAAGCTTTCAAGGGAATCATTGTATTTGCTAGAGCTGGGATTGAATAAAGCACCTGAAGATGATTCAAAATAATCCAAATTGTGTCTTTATATCTGCCTTTGTCATGGAAAATGTTGGAAAACCACATACCTAACTTTTCTGATAAAGAAAGGAACATTTCTTCAAACTGAAAAATCCAAAAGGGGTGAGGAAACACAATAAATTGAAAGCAATAAATGACGAGGGATGAGTTCCTGTCCCACTCACGTTGACAGGTGTTTTACCATTGATTTTAGCACTGACAGTCTTTTAGTTCAGAACTGAACAGCAAATGGACAAACAGACCAATGGCTTCAAAAATTGAAAAGGCTGAGCCGGGCATCACAGTGTCCCGTTCAGTGTGCAACAGTGGTCACAAGAGCAAGCAAAATAGTAGAATAGAAAAAGAATGAGATTTGGACATTAGAGACACAATTTTTAGTCAATATCGAGTCTTGAGTATCTATTCATCTTAGAGTTCCTCCTCAGAACCAATGAAAGTGGCATAGCAGGAGTTTGACAACAATCAAAAACTATTATGGAAGAAAACCTAAAAAGCTGGAATGAACCAGGAAGTTACCTTAGCAAAGAGATTAATAAGAGGGGACGCTGCAAAGAATACTATGAGATATAAATAAACAGGATGCTCTTCAAACTAAATTTTCTCATATTAGAGCAAAGGGACAATCAGAGTAATAAAAAATTATCAAGTCAGAAAGACTGAAACATTTTGCTGCATAAACCACAAAACTGTGTCATTAATTTACATGTACATCTCCATGATAATAGCGAGGAATACTCTTTTGTGCTTTTGCTATTGCTTTTCTTTCTTGTTCATACCCATATAAAAAATTACTGACATGGCAATAAACATAGATCTTCAGAACAACTGATTTAAGGGAACGTGCCTTCCCCTTCCTCTTGCCCTAATGCATGAAACTTTTTAGGTTGAGATATTCCAGGGAAGGAAGGAGAGGCAAGATGAGGAATGGAGCATGGCTACAGCAAGGCTGTGGACAGCTCGCAGAGATGTCCAAGCACATGCTGAAATTGCAGGGCGCTGCATGTTCTGTGCTAGACCCTACACATGTAATGCAGGTGGTGATGGCTCAGAAAGCTGACAGCTGTTGGCACTGATATGTTTGGTCCCAATCTAGAATTAAGACAGAACCACTAAACTATCAATGTGTGAAATGTGTGACTTAAATTACAAGGTAGGGCCATCCAAGGAGTCCCTTGCATAATTCATGACACTTCAGAACTTCACATATAAATCAAATACAGGGAAAGTCTATCATTTCTGCTCTGTTGAGCACAGATCCATACACAACTTGGGTAATGGCTGCACAAACAAGCTCTCTAGAAAATACAGGATTACAGACATGCTCTTCACAATGCTCATTCACGCAGTTCCACAAGTAATTTTAGTACAATACCTTTAAGTGGACATTTCTATGAAAAACTAATCATAAGTCTCAAGAATACAGAGGTCATTAAAAATAACAAAATTAAGCCTGGTTTGGGGGCGTGTGTGTGTGTTTTCCAAATGAACGCTTACAAACACTCTTTTGCAATTTTTTTCCATACTGGACTTAGTCAAATTCTATATGATCCATAGGCTTGCTATTAATCATTTCATCTGTCTAATAGCGTAGAAAAGGAAACTACAGACTCTACAAAGCTCCCACGCTTCCTAAGAGGCTCCAAAACCAGCTAAACTATATTCTCCAAGATCAACGATAAACTTCGACCAATTTTCAACCTTGAAATGGCGAGTAAGCCTAATACAAATGAAGTGCAAAACTGTTAAGTGTAACGTAAGAATTACTGTTATCAATAAAAACACATGTAAGTGGAAACACTGCTTTAGAAATAGCTATAACCTTGACTTACTGTGGCTGTGCCGGAGACAGTTTGTGCATTTGTGTCAGCTGCACTCTGTTCAGAGTGTGTCTGAGCAGGAGGGTACATATTTAACGTGTGCTCTGGAACAGTGGTTTGGCCTGTGTAGTCTGGAGCTGGATGAGGATGTGGGGCTGTGTATTCTGCAGGGATACCATTCTGAGGTGGCGCAAACTGGGCTGAGGCATAAGGCTGTGCCATTGTGTCAGGAGGTGCTGTAGCTTCCTGATTACCCTGTAAAAATCAAAGGAAAAAAAAAGGAAGAAGAAATGTGGTGTGAGATAAAATAAGCGATGATCCTGCACACGTAACACAGAAAGTGATGGTAGCGTTCTGTTAAGATTGCTGTCCTGAAAAGGGTACAATGGTTGTTTCTTGAAGAGAAAATTTCTTATCTGAATTAAATCCATTCTGCTAACCCTATTAAATCTCATTATACTTAGACAAACAAATCTGCTGTTCTCTGTATAACTGTAGACTATTCTTTAACTGGGAAAGGTCAATGCCTCAACTCAGACAATGAAGAGGGACAAAGCTCAGTTTACTCCAGAGGATACTGAGCATAACTGCCAATGCAGGGCTCTGACAAGGCTAGCTCATGGTCTGTGATCCATCCTGACTTAATCATCTGCAGAACACAATACCTGCAACCTACACACAGAGCAGGATTTGGGTGTATACTATTACCATAACTGTATACTGAAAATACTTATATGAAATAATGTTCTGTGAGATACTTAGAAATACTCTGATGTACACTGTATTGAGCAACTGCATGCTACAAATGCAAAAAAAATAATGAGATCCAATCAAACTATTAAACATTTGAATCTAAAAATGCATCAGTTTAAATTCTTAAAATAAAAGAAAAATTCTGTCAAATTCTGTCTTCCGTCATAGGCTGTCGAAAGAAATAGATTTAAAAACTTTAAATATGAAGACAATTGTATTTCATTTCCACACTATAATTAAAAAGAAATGCCCTCATGTTTTTCTAGCTAGGTCCATCTTTGTGTCTGATGGATAGTTGAGCATGTTCATTTATCACTCAGTGACTTCTGATTCAATGCTCTGCTCATACCACATAGTAATAGCTCTAGGGGAAGAAATGTATACAACAGTCTTTCAGAACCTGTATAATGTCCAAAACATGACGCTGTAGATGACATAGAATTAGAGGCCATTAATACAGGGACCACCCAAAACTCAGATGAGCTGATATACACGATAAAATTATCCCTCTAAATATCAAGCAATGTAAAAATGAATATTTGAGTAGAGTTCCATTATTTTTCAAAATGCTATGTTATTATTCCACCAAAGCATGTACAAGTACTCGCACAGGACTACTGTAAGGATTTTGCTTATTCGTACTCATCAGACCTTGATTTCCTCATTTCAAAATAGGCTGGATAAATAAAAGATATTCTTTTATGTTTTATACTAAAGGAAATTTCCAGTCAATTTCAAGTAATTCAGACATCAGTTCTCTGACCTGACCGATCCTAAACTCAAGAGCTTTTAAGAATTTGCAAAATCACAGCACAGGAATAAGCCTTTGTACATGGCAGGTTTAGATGGGAAAAATAAACTTTCCTTTGTAAAAGGCATTTAGCATGTCCTAAAAAATTAAAACTTGGTATCACCAATAAAACTCTCCTTAATTTTATTCCCATCTTTGCTACTATTTCAGTGTTTGGTCTTGAGCAAGTAGTTTACTTTGCTTTATTCAACCATCTTTAAAATGAAAACGGTGACATTTACCTCCTTCACAGGGTTAAGTCACTAAGGTTCATTTGCATACATCTACAAGCATTCCAAGGTTAATGCTGCACTGAAAATGGCCCTTTTTAGCTTTCAGTGGAGGTTAAAAACTCTTGTAAATGTATACTTAAACTCCTTATGTTAAAATGGCAAGCTCCCTTTTCTTGTTTCTTTTACCTAACGTTTTCACTATTAAAAAAATAAAAAATTCCAGATGAAGTTAAACCCAGCAATGACTGGATTACACCACAGGCATTTATTAAATGTTAAAGTATTTTTAAAACTTGTGGAGAAGGCGGGTGACCTTAAATTTTTTAATCAGTTGTTTCAGGAAGGACTTCAGCAAATGGTAAGAATGAACAGCAAACCAAACTTCTGCCTATATAAGCATTTTTGCTGTGATGGCTTTGAAACATGGTAGCTGATTACTACTGGTCCTTAAGCTATCCCTTCATGTCAAATGCTAAACATGGCATTAGAGTCAGCAGCTGTTAAAAAAAAGAACAATAATGGCAACGAAGGGACCAAGGGCTAATGTCCAGGTGCATTTGATCTAAAGGTTTTTATACTACTCTAGTCCTAAACCAGCTGTTGCCAAGACCCCCTACTGTTTCTCATTAACCTTGACAGCAGTTCCATGAGATCCTAATTAATATTCAAAGCATTCACACTCAGTGCTAATTACAGCTGATATTTAATTAAGAGGGTTGAACTTACATAATCGTTTTACCAGCAAACTCCAAACAATTTACTTTTTAGATTTATCAGAAAAGGGCAAACTGTGCTGGCAATTCCAGCACCTTCATGGTGCTGACACTCTTCTGTCTCTTTCATTAGACTTGTTAAGATGAGGTCTGGATCACTTATTTATACCTGAGATCTCATTAATAAGTTAACAGTGAAGGGTCAGGGGTTGGTTTGGTTTTGTTTGGATTTTGGTTTGGTCTTGTTTGTTTGTTTGTTTTATATATATGCAACTTCTAGGTACCCAGGGATTTACAGCCTTGCCATTAAAAAAGCACATAAACCTCACCATTCTTAGAGTAGAAAACTGGCACGCAAGATTTCTACTTGCACTGCATGGTCATTAAATTGAGCTGGGTTTCTTTTGCGGCGGAAGGACAGAAACATGAAATTATATTTGCACACTCTACTGTGGGCCTCAAGTTTAAAATGATAACAACAATAAATCTAAGTTGTTCATCTCTTAAAATCAGTATCTACTGTAGCCTTTCTTTGCCTTTAAAAATCAGTGTGAATTTATGATTTACAATTAATGCAATAGATACTGTATTACAACGTAGTATAAAAGCATGTTTGTATAAACATGTTCTCTACTACTTACATGGGTATCAAGCCAATAGCTTACTGTTGAGAGTGTGAGTTTATATCAAGAACAATGCAGTGTCAGCTATACACACATTTGTATATACATGTGGTTGATGGAAACCCCAGACTACACAACAGTTAGATACATGTGAGTAGATTTTAAAGAACCAAAAATTCTCTAAATGCGATCACCTAAAATGTCCCTTTGTTGTGCTTTTAAAAATTCAGTGAAGTTAAACAAATAAATGGAATGATAGACAAATGCATTAAAATGAAAATACCAAATGGCCCTAAAATCAACAGGAAATATTGAGGCTAAATTAGCCTATAAACTCAGGTATCAGAGTAATCTCCATACTGTGGGTCACAGTACACAGACATTGCTTAATACAACCTAGGCATGAGAAGCTAAACAGAAGTTGTCCATTCAGACTCAGTTCCAAGTATCTTTAAGATTAAATGACCCCTTAATGCTCACTTTGTGCACTTTAAAAAAAAAAAAAGTAGTTGTTGGCAACAGAAAGAAGAACAAAGGATGGCAGACAGTCAGGCTCTGCTAAATGTTCTGGCCTGAGTTTTAATGAAAACCACGTTTCAACTGAAAAATATGCTTTACGTGGCAGTGTATAAAATCAGATTTATTGCTTTCTGGTTAAATGTTGAACTCTAAAGAACAAAAAAAGAAAGCATTCCAACGATGTAGGTAAGTGAAGTTGCTCCTATTCCACATATATTACTCTATTTGAAGAAAAGCTTAGAATTTAAAATGCTCCTAGTATCTCAAATCTCAACATGCCTTTTCAGCATCTTCTGCTCTGAAAGGATTTCATAATTAAGAAATGCATGAAAAGTGTCAAAACATAATAAAGCAAGCTTGTTATATTTGTACACAAAAGACAGAGCACAGAAAGCATTACTTATGCAGTGTTCCTTCTTAAAAACACATTTGCAGCATAAAAATCTATTCAATGAAAACCTTTCTGCTTGCCTGCATTTTAAAGTCTAACTAACTGTTTATTGTTTGTTTTACTCTATTTTCCGTTTGGTGCATTTCGTTTCTTTGGCAAGAGATATTTCACATTTAGAGAAAGCCTCTCATAGTGTAGTTAAATGAGCCAAACTGCATCATATCCTCAGGGCACGGAAACAAAGAAGAAAAATGCAACATTGCTCTGTAAACCTGCTGGTTATAAGAACAGCTCCATTAGATATATCAAGCATAGCAGATACATAATCACCGCCATAGTTTGCCCTCCTTCAGACTTAAGCAATAAAACATGTATTAGAAGTCTTGCATGCAGTGTGGTGCAGCTGGTTATAAGAAATGCCCTGGCTTGACTAAAATCACGAGTTTCAAGTGAAAATAAAAGTGAAAATACCTGCTGTACCATCCTGCTCCCTTTATTCTCCATAAACTTAGCAGCTGCTCTAGTCCCAAGCCATACAGCATCTGCCCAAAGCAAGCATCAATTATGGATGAGGGCGTGTGAGCAATGTAATGTGTGCCTGAGTGTGGATGATAGGGGTGTTGAAGGAGGGGGAGCTAATGCAAGGCTTACTGACCTCCCTCTCAACATCTGACTGCTCCCAAAACCTGATCCAGATGGGACTCTTTCAGTTTGCTGGGCCTCGCCCCATCAATCACAGCAGGCCACTCCTCTGTCTCCTGCTACTAGTTATAGAGTGCACCACTGAGCAGATGATTACACACAGAAGAAGAAAAAACACAGCTTGACTACATTAATAGCTGTTTAAAAACATTAGAAATGCTATTATGTACGATGCCAGAAGCTGAACATTTTTGTTTTAAAATTAAGACGGCTGTATTCAAAGTTACAACCCCCACTAAACAGCCAGTGCTTTGGCTTTTTGATAGCTACAATGTACAGCAACATGTGTGCATTTGTATGTGATTAATTCGTCCGACATGTGGTAGGGATAATACCAATAAGATTTCTATTTTAAAATTGCTGAACTCCATAAGTACACCATCAATATTGAACTAGCCTGGTTTAGATTAAATGTACTTTATCCTTCCATACAAATGAAATATTGTTTCCTTTTTTGTTTCATTTCATGACATCCCTCTTGCTTAGCAGGGAAATATTTCAGAAATGCTTCCAAGGTTTAGTTCTGTGAGA